GAACCGCGAAAGAGCTGACGCACTTTACAAGCACCCAAATAACGCAAAGAGCAATCCCCACACTGAATAAAAATAGATGGCACCAAAGGCTGTGCCAGAGCTGAACCTGATGAACCACTGGCCTACCACGAGAGAAAGAATCCCAAGCCCTTGCACGACCCCACCGTGACGGTGCTTTCACCCCCCCCCCCCAACAAGCCCCCAAGAGGACCAACCATTCCGACATAGGACGGCAACTAGCCGAAGCCGCCTGCAGATACTGCTTCACTGCAGACTCTGCAGACAGCAACAGACAAAAGGGCGAAGACAATCTAAGAGCCAGGGCCCAAGTGGATTCCAAGGAAAAAGCAAGCACCACCTGCCAACACGCGAGCCGAGAACCAAAAACCACGAAACTACACCCCGCAGGAGCGGCGCGAACAGCTTCAACAGCGCAGATGACACATGCGCCGCCGAAGGTAACACACCAGACCCTGAGGCAGCCCCAAGCTCCTCCACATCCACCGCAAGCCAATCCGAAGACAGCTCAAGGAGGGTGAAGAACCGCAGAGCCAAAGCCAGCACGCCTCGCATATGCAAGTTCTCCGCAACCAATGCAGCCAAAAGGGAAGGAACGTGTACATGAAACTGCATTACACCAACATCCCACGGAAGAGCACAGGTGAACAAGCACTCATTGACATGCTCAAATATGCCCCCCAGGAAAACCTGCAATGCCGTCTGAGCCACTTAAGTGTGATGGGACCGAAAGAACGTATGCCACGCCTCTAAAGAGAAGAAAGGGCAGTCTGCTAACCAGGACGACTCCAGAACTTTGTAACAAACCCAGTAAAGACACTAAGATCCATACACAAAGGAACGCAGATCCATCACGAAAGTAAAATCCGGGTCGCGCAGGAGGTAAGCCGCAAGGACGTCCTGCACCCACTGGGACTGGACTCGGGAAGCCGGAAACCTCCAGAAAGACAGAACCAAAGAACCGTCAGGGTCACGGAACCGAACCCTAGGAGGGGTAGACACCAAATCCAACTCGTACAAGGAGGGAGCAAAAGAGAACCCCACACCCTCTAACACTAAGCCCCGCTCCGAGGGTACAAAAACCCAAGCGGGTTCTAATGGGGCCCAAGGCTCCCAGGTCAACCCCTCCCCCGCCCCAGGAACCTCACCCCGAGGATCCAGGGCCAAGCCGTCCTCCACACCTCCTGCCTCTAAAGAAAAGGCAGGAGCAGCCGAAAAAGCAGGAACGAAGGGGGCCCACTGGTCAGACCCAGAAGCTCTGGCAGGAGGACCAGGCTCGAATGCCTCCGCCACCACCCTGAAGGAGACTCCCCCCCCCCGAGACTGCCCAAGTCTCAGCACCAACTAAACCCTGCCCTGACTCCGAAACCCTTAGATGCTTCGGAGCTGGAAGAGGTGAGGAGCTGGATGGACTACAGAAGGGGAAGGACAAGGGAGGGGGGGGGGGGGGGAAGGACAGAACTAGAGCTGAAGCGACTCCCACCCCCAAGTCCGGGTCCCTAAAACCAAAACGGAGCAATCTCGGGGCATTCGGGGAAGTAACTAACCTAGTGTGTGTTGCAGCAACCTAAACCTAGCATGCAACGCAGCTGCCGCCTGCACCCTCATATCATGATCAGTAGCTTGGGCAAACTGGAGCACGTATAGGCAACAAACGTCGCACGACTTCGGATCAAAAGAATCACCGACCCAAGAGACAGCATGGCGGAGGCACAACCGGTGATTGTCCCCTAGAAACAAGGGGACAGAGCAATCTTCCGACTAGCACGAATCGAGAGGGGATCAAGGGTCACATCCATCAGACCACGGAGCCCCCCCGCTGGGATTCCCCAGGGCCCTTAGCCTTATTAGCATGCTAAGGGAAGCCCAGGCAGAGTACTGCGAACTGGCGCACAAGTCTACCAAACAATCTGCTAATAGCTGAACCCCCAGGAAGTGTCCACTCATGGGGGCCTAGCAAGGGGTACCACCAACCACACAAAAACTGAGAATAGATATAATGATAGATATATACCCCCCAACACAGGAGGGGCAACCACCAAGGCAGACCCCCCTCACCAGGCAGAAAAATAAAAACAAAAGCAAAATCCCACAAGAGGACAATGTACCCAGATGGAACAGAGCCGGTTGCTGTAAGAGGTGAAAATTAGCTGTGCCGTACCCCGTGCCCCTACCAGTGACGGAAACTACCCCCCTTACCCAGAGGCAAACACGGGCAACAAAGACCCCAGTTGACTCCAAGGGTGGCCAAGTACCAAGCAATAAAAGACACAGCAGGGGTAGATTCCGAGATGAGTTGTGGAAGGTGGGCCCCCAGCCACAAGGGTAGTACTTATAGGGCACCTAGGGAAGGTAGCCCTAGGCGCATGCAGCCCAAGTATCGAAGAATATTACTCCTGGCTTGCACACCACCAGTAGAGACAGTCCACGCCTAAGGTACAGACACTGAGACAAATCACTGGAGCCAGAGGCACAAGACCATGCCAGTAGCACATCAGCCTGAGAACTGTAGGGTGGATCGCCGATGTGAGGGGTCTGGAGCTCCCCCCTTCCCCCTTCTGGGGAGGGGGGAGGTGTTGCGCAGACAGCGGTGCGGGGACATGATGACGTCATACTCATTTGATAATTTTCATTTGAGGAGTTCTGTCCACTCGTTCGGATTTCAGCAGCAATAGTTTCACTAGAATAGGGGTTTGTTTTGAGGCGCCTACCTTTCTGGGTGCCAGATCCAGTTGATGTGATTACCTAGACATAGAATGCTCCCAACCACACGGGGGTTTCTATAGGCCATTGCTCCTAGTGCCTCTCTTGAGAGGGGCCAGATACTGGCTCATGGTCCCTGGAAGGCAAGAACTCTGTGCACATTGACTGATGCCAGAAAGTTATCCACTAAGTTGGTATGCCGAGTCAAAAGGCAGCAAAGAGTGGCCGCCACACACCAGGCAGCCAGCCACTGGCCGCCACTCCCTCCCTCCTCCCACCATACTGTTTTTGCTTTTATTCACTATATACAAATGTTATACATAAGTATCTGCATGTTTTGTTCACCATTGCAAACCACTAAGCTGGTATAGTGAGTGCAGACAGCAACAAGTGGTTACACAGATTCGGCAGACTACACAACACCCCTCCCACTCTCAACATTACTCCTTCCACGCCACAGCACAAATTATCATAACAATCCTGCTTAGGTGCTGACTATTGTGAAAATTCTCACTGGTTGTATTTTGTGAGCACTAAGTGTTTTAACTTCTTAAATTGATAAATACATGAATGATGTTTTTTCTTTAATTGTTTGATAATTACATTGTGATAATTAGTGAGTACAAACATGAAAAAACTTAATCATGTGACACATATAGAAACAGGATAGGAAATGACAGGCTTTTGTCATTCCCACCAGAGCTCTGGCACCAATAAAATTGGCATTGCACCTCTGGTTACACTCAAACCATATGTATGGTTTGTAAACCATACATATGGCTTGAGTGTAAGTGTAAATGAGAAAATGAGAAAAATGAGTGTAAACCACTCAACCCAATGTACCTTCTTGTATATAAAAATAAATAAAATAATAAATAAGTAAATAAACATGCTTTCTCTAAAAAATGACTCAAGCTGTCTTAATCTGATTTACATGATCTCTCACCAGGAAACCTACTTTTGTTCATCACTGATCAATTTCTCGGCAGTTTACTGTACTACTGTAATTATACAGTAGCAGTTTACTATCCTACAAATTTATGTTTCCAGTAATTCTAACACTACACTGCTACTGTATAATTACAGCTCTTATCAAGGTTCGGGAACATTACCACTACTTCATGCTCATAATAAACTCTCCACACCTACTGCATTCTTGTTTGTCCTCATCACCTAAAACATTTCAGCTTTTTTACCAACACAGTTACCTCTTCCATTGGTATATTGTATCAGCTGGCATACATTCTTCAGGTCTTATCACATCATCAAATTCATTAAAAGAATACAAATTTAAAATCTGCTCAAGGGTGAGAAGACAGAATCTTCCCAGGATGGATTTATACCACATATAAACCACCTTTTTCTTATAAGAGATAAAGCAGAAAAATACCTTGCAGTCCATAACAGGATGTTATAACATTACGTATAAAATTTAGTCTAGCTCATAGCTTTGCAACAGTTAAGGATGTTGGATTGGCAAAAATCACAAAAAACAAAATATGCATTAACACAATTAATATGTAAAAATAAATCAAAAGCCAACATATCACACTCATGCATCTGACCTCAATTCCAAAGACTCTATCCTGAAAAAAAGTGAATTTATTGGTTAGTTCTTGCACATCATTTATCAATAAGGTTCTCTCTAATGTATGACGACTTAATTCCTTTTGGTTGAAGCAAGCACAAAGTTCTGACAACGATGTAGAGAAACACCGAGATGAGAGTAGATTTTATTGGCTTAAAATGTTGTACCTGTAAAGATCATCTAACAAGCAATAAATGCTTCTCTCTTACCTGACTGCACCTTGACCTTCTCTAGTGTAATTACACCTTCACCTTCCTGACTTTGCCCATACACATTCTCCCCTTTATAAGAACTACCCATGTTAGAGCCCTTACAGCATTATGTTATCTACAAATAAAGTCTGCTCCCATATTGGCATTTCTTTTAATATATTTTATAACAGTAACATTTAATACTGTATTATAAAATATAGAGAAACTACTACAATGCCATAGTGTTTGAATACCTGGTTGATACCTGGGTGATGGGGTTCTGGGAGTTCTTCTACTCCCCAAGCCCAGCCCAAGGAATATTGCATTTAAGTCATAAATAAATAATTTCTGTACAATTTGACTTCTGAATTGGTGATCCAATTACTGTTCTGTATTTAAAAATTCCCTATTAAATAGCACAGTTAAAGCATCTAGCAGATTTTCGGTACTGTGAAGCAGTCTTACAAGGTCTGAGGAGAAGCATTTCAAGTGGAACTCACCTGAGGTCCAAAATCGAAGTAGTTCAAGGCACATTTGTCACACTTGTCCCCAGTCACTCCTGGTTTACACTGGCAGATTCCATTACTGGCACACTGAAGACTGCGTGAGCCTAATAACATTTAAAACAACTTTATTTTCTTCCTGTTGCAAATGGAATCTATAGCAGATTTTTACAGTGTGGTATTTCAGTTCCAAGTTGACACAGATGAAATAAAGCTTTCAATCTACCCACTGAATGTAAATAATCTATTATCTCTACCTCAATATTTTTTATATTATACAACATAAAGAACAGCATTACAACGGAGAATACTACACTAAATTGAAAAAAAAAATTAGGTAATAAGGTGTAAATTGAAAATTTGCATGAAATCCAATTCAACCATGGAACATTTTAATTCATTATACACTATTTTGATAAAAAGTTCTTAAGTTTTCATGTTTCAAAAATTGTAAAACTAAATGACTTATAAATTATATATGTCATATTGTATATTCATTAATATCATTATACTGTATGACACTAAACTAAAATTTACACACACACAAATCACAGTATTCTGTTCCAACAGTTGAGTAGCTTTCACCTATTCCACATTCATGTATAAAGAAATTAAGAAAAACTTTTATTAACTTACCAATATCATTACAGTTACAAGCGATACAGACACCATCTTTACGTTCATAATAGTTATCCCTGCAGCGCTCACAGTTGGGTCCAGCACGATTGGCAGCACAGTCAAGACAGTGTCCACCATGACCAGTCCTATCATATAGCTCCTGGTCAAAGTAACAGCGGTTGGAGTAGCCATTGCAATTGCAAGCTGCAAGAAAAATTAACATGTATTAGCAACTTAAAGCAGTTAAAATTTGATCATTATAATTTAGGACACAGCTTGAACTTACAAGTTGATAAATAATAAACAGATATCTTTTGAACATCTACAATCAAGAAACACATCCCCACGACATATTATCTCGGGAGAAAAATCCAGTGTTGAATGTAATGAAACGCCATTTTCTGGGTGAGACCGTTTGGCTCCCTGGAGCTATACTGGGCTGATGTGTATATATTAAACCATGGCAACAGTCAATCGATGAAGTTCTATGCCTACCAAGGCTGACCGGGAGCCCCATGCCCAAATGTCTGCCCAGGACATATTACCAAAAACAGCAGCCAAAGTCGTGAACTTACGAATGCCATGGGCACGGGGATAGACTGCAGGCTGGCTGAACCAAATAATCCTGCTGATGACCTGAGAGACCCACGCCCTGGAACAGGGAACAGGGAAAAGGGAAAGGGAAACCGGGTCAACCCAAAGCGTGTCCCCTTGCCATAGAGGCCGTGGGGCACAAGTAACGGCAAAGAGCCACAACCCGACACAAAACATGATGCACCCCTGACCGAACCAACCAAGCATCAACAACCCAAGGATCCCTCCGGAAAGCAGCAGTCTCATTTTTCGCCAGAAAAGAAAGAGACAGCTGCAAATGAACAAAACGACCACTAGGACCAAAAAAGTAGAAACCCTTGCGTAGGAGGAGAGTATGAAGCTCCCAACCCGACCCCCAGAGGCCAATGCCAACAAGAAGTCATAGAAAACAGTTTTGAACCAAAGGGGCCACTACAAACTGAGGAGAAGAGAGAAAAAAAGAGCACACGGTCTAAAGACCAAGACAGCTCAGGCAGTGCATGAGCAGGTCGGAGGTGAAACAACACCCGAGAAAGCTTGCGGAACGGAGCAAAAGTGACATCCACCCTGAACAGAAGCTGAATTGGCTCCGCCAGCACCGCACGATATGAGGCGACAGTATTCTGCATAAGATGACAGTCCTGAAACAACAAAGAGAGAGAGAGAGGACAAAATAACCCAACCAGAAATCAAAGACAACCTACTAAGAGACAAAAAGTGCTGAAAGGCAGGAAACTTCCTACTGCCACAAAGATGAGACTCGCAGGTGGGACACCATCAACGAAGCCGCCTGATCACCATACAAGTGGTGATAAACCTATATCAAAAAGACCAGACACGAAGAGCAGAGGAGAAGATCGAACTAGCCACATACTGGGCTGGACCGATCCGCTGAAAGAGGCAGAATCGCAGGAAGACCCTTGGGTTCGGACATCGAGTAAGCAGTGCCTGAACCAAGGCAGAGTTGGCTACCAAGGGGCTAACAGGACTACTCTTCCCTGGTAAATCTCCAAGAGAGAGAAAACCTGAACCAACAACCAAACCGGGGTGAAGAGGTACAGGTCACCTCGACCAGTTCAGCCGAAAGCCATCAACTCTGATGGCCTCGGTCAGGAAAGGGCACCACTATACCGGAAGACGCCTCGACCAGGCCCCACACGAAGTAGTCTACCTCTGGGTGCCCGAATGTTCGGCAGAGCCAAAGGAAGTCGTCGTCGACAGTCCATTCCGTGGACAGGGGAATGAAACAGGACAGGCCATCTGCCAGGACGTTGGACACCCCCTGCATATGGACTGTCAGGAGAGCCAAACCCTGAGAACTCAGCAGACGAGTCACCCAAAGCGAACAGCCCCAAAGAGCCAAGGACCACAATGAACCCCCTCGGTTCAGGCAATGAACCACCGGGAAGCAGTCCAAATGGAGCCAAATCGTTGATCCACAAACAACACAAATGTCGGAAATTCTGACAACAACTACTAACCCCTGACATATCTAATTAAAATTAGTTATGTCAGGTAATTACTAACAGTATTAATATTACTAAATCTATCAAAGGGAGAGTACTGAGAGATTCTGTGGAAACAAAGTGGGAAGGAATTGCATCAGCCAAGCAGTCCAGTACCTCTTATTCCCTTTACTGAAATTATAATACTTTCAGTTTTTACGTTGAAATGCTAAAGAAAGTATTCATTAAAGACTGGATATAATGTTAAATAATGAGTAAATGAAGTCTTCCTCTCCTAGCTGATAATTAAGTTAGCTAAAACTGGACATGTTTAGAACGTATCAGAGGAGGGGCACGCTAGGGAAAGCGTCAGTAAGCACATGGTTCTAGAGACGGACGGACGCACAGCTGCTCGCTATAAAAGATGCCATACTTGTGCCCTCCATAGGTAGCCAAGGACACGCCTGAGCAAGTCCTGCCAATCTTTCACAAACAAAGGAAGTGCCTTTTACCCATTTGTTGTTCAAGCTAAGTGATCACAAGTGCTATCATACAAGCAGTTAGGCTGTGAACTACCCAAACAAAATGGGTGAGCATTCATTGTCAAATTAATCTTCTCGTTCTGCTCATATGACCCTGAGTTTTGTTATGAGTACAGTATTACTGTGTAATGTTTTTAAAGTTATCCTTGAGGATGTGGAGATAGCAGCCACGAATTCTTTCCTACCCAGATATGTCTGGACGCCACAACATTTGAGGATACTCTGTGGTGATACTCTGTGTATCACAGAGTATCACATTTGAGTGATACTCTATGATACTTAGTTCAGGACGGTTGTATGACTGGAGAATCTGCTGCTCAATCCAGTCCAATCCAGCAATGCTACAACCACTGTGTTGCAACCTTGCAACTTGTATCTTATTACATAACTCAAATATTTTTCCAAACCAGTACTGTATATACACACTTTCTGAATCTAAATAATGTATATCCAATTTATATAAAAAAATTTATGTTCTATTTTGTGCTAATCTATTAATATCCTGTATACAGAACACAGAGTGTAGTAGTGAACAAAATAAAATCCAGTCCATCTTCTGTGGCAACTCAATCTCTCAAGGTACTGTGCTGGCTCCCGTACTTTTTCTCACCATCTTATCAGACAGACAAAGATGCAAACTGTAGCACAGTAGCATCATTCTTTGCAGATGACAACCAGGCTTTTCATAAGAGTAGACAATATAGTGGAGATACACTCCATTATGACCACTGGTCATACTGGTCCTAGTCACTGAGTGCTACACACTGTGTCATGACCTCAGTTCATGACACAGTGTGTCCACTGATCATACCGAACCTTGCCACTGAGTGTACACACTGCATCCAACCCGTCCTCTTAAAAATAACGTCACTTTTGGCTCGTATGCGCGCTATGGCCAAAAGTGGACGTAATTTGAAATGAAATCGACTCACAAAAGTGATGTACTGTTCTGTTTTCTGTTTGAGTTGTCCGGCTTACTCAGTAAGATTAAAAGAGGAAACTTTCATTTGACGTTTTTCATAACGTTTTGAAACTTTATGAGAATTTCCTACCCACCTAACCCATCAGAGGACCCTTAACTTATTGTTGAAAAAAAAAAAATCACAAATTTATTTTCAGTTTTTTTTTTCATTTTCAAATTACGTCCACTTTTGGCCATACGGGTAAACGGCCAAAAGCGACGTTATTTTTAAGAGGACAGGTTACTGCATCATGACCACTGCTCATACTGTCTTTGTCACTGAGTGCTACACACTGCATCATGAGCACTACTCATACTGTCCTTGTCACTGAATGCTACACTAATTCATTAGTCACACACAGGATCAACAGAAACTGAGGATGGAGAGAAGAGAGTCAGCTTCAGGGTGATGTACTCAAACATAGATGGGATTACAAGCAAGGCAAGTGAACTTAGGAAAAGAGCACAAGAAGTGAATCCGGATGTAATTGGACTCACGGAAACAAAACTCTCAGGAATCATAACGAATGCAGGTTTTCCCCAGGACTACTCTGTAATAAGGAAAGAGAGGGAAGGAAGGGGAGGGGGTGGAGTGGCCTTATTAATGAGAAAGGAATGTCGTTTCAAGAAAATGGTTATCCCGGGCTGCAAGGAGTTCAGAGACTACATAACAGGCACCATGACGATGGGAGGATCAAGAGTAGTAGTAACAGTGATATATAACCCTCCACTAAATAACAGAAGACCCAGGCAAGAGTATGACAGAAACAACATGGCAGTTAACACTATAATTGAGAGAGCAGCCTCTGATGCCTATAGAAATTTATTCCATCAGCTCATCATGGGGACTTCAAATATGGAAGAATAAACTGGGAGAACAAGGAACTGCATGGAGGTAAGGAAACATGGAGAGCTAAACTATTGTAGGTGGCGACAAAAAACATTTTAAGCCAGCAAGCATGTCAGGGGACCCACAAGAATGAGAGGAAACAACAAACCAGCGAGATTCGACCTAGTCTTCAGTCTAAACGACTCCAACAGAAGGGAAATCGGTTTCGAGACCCCAGTAGGAATGAGCGATTACAGTGTGCTGACGTGTGAGTATCTGGTCGAAGAAAGGTTAATGTACTCAAGGAAAAGACCTGAAAATAAAAGGCTGGCATTCCGAATGGAAACCTATGAAGAGATAAAATTCCTAACGGGGATAACATGGCAAAAAGAGCTCGGGGAAAGATGGCCCAAGACATGATGGACTACATCACGCAGAAGTGTAAGGAGGCAGCAGACAAGTTTGTCCCAGTTCAAAAGGAAAAAAAATGAAATGCAGATGAGAAACCCATGGTTTAATCAGAGATGTAAGCTAGCAAAGCAACTAAGTACAATTGCGTGGAGAAACAATAGAAATAACAGGACACTTGAGAGCAGAGAAAGATACCAAAGTGCCAGGAATGAATACGTCAGGGTGAGAAGAGAGACAGAAGGGCAATACGAAAATGATATAGCAAACAAGGCAAAGACTCAACCAAAATTTATGCACAGCCACATCAAGAGAGAAACAACAGTGAAGGAATAGGTAATGAAATTGAGGATAGGGGGCAGACAGATTCGCTACAAATGACAAGGAAGTATGCAAGGAACTGAGTAAGAAATTCTAGGTCTTCACATTAGAAGAAGGAGAAGTTC